TGTGTGTCGTAATGCGCCCTCCCCAGTTGGCAGTTCGGGGATGATGTCACCTGCCTTGCCGCTTTTATAAGTGCTTTCGTAGCTTTATGGTGACAAAATTTTATCATAAATACATGTCGACGTGGATTTGGGGAAGTTGGAAAAACATTTCAATTTATAAAAGGAGTGTTTTAGAATAATACGTATGTGTCGCATCTAAAAATTCCACACATCAATGCGTTCTCTTCTTCTCATCTTTATGTCGAAACAGTTTGATAAATAACAAACTCAATAAAAGCAATGATTTAAATAAAACACTTTAAACGGTTTAAAACGTGTTATATATTAGGTATACAGCCGGGAAGACTCCCCAGTGACCACGGCTGCTGCAAACCGATGTAACGAAAATAAGTTTAACTAAAATATATGGCGTTTTAAACCGTTTAAGTGTTTTATTTAATATGTACCATTCGCGTAAACTACAGACAGTACTTATGTCAGTGATACGTGAAACATTAGAGGACATAACGGACGCACCATACCTAAGCTACAACATTCGACCCACCCTTAAAACACTGAATTATATCATTATTAATGATGTATGTAATGTGACGTCACGAATGTTTCTTTATTTCTAGATCAGTACAGAAAAAAAAATATAATTATAAAAGTGGGTGTAATGGCAAATAAGCAAGGGGTCGTGGGTCCGATTCTAATCAATTTATTATTTTTCTGAAATCTGACTTCCTCTCAGAGTATGGATATTAATTGGGTGGTAGGAATATCGAAATTACCATCGAAAGATCAAAAAGTCGTTAAGTTTCGTTTTGTTTCCGAATATCCAATCCTAAGTATCTATGTTCTTATGTCTATGTTTGTGCAATAAAGAGTTTTTATTATTATTTATCCAAAGCTAAAATACGACGACAGCGTTTGTTTAGATGTTATTAATGTTAGAACTACCATCCAGTAATTCTATCATATAAACAGTAGTTTACCATTTAAATTTATTGCGTCGAAGCATTTTTCAGTCAGTTAACACCAGTCGTAAAAGATCGAACGAGTGTGCGTCTAGAAGTGTTGTAAAAAACTTTTGTCGCTCCAAACAATAAAGTACATATCTGGAAAGGAGTTGTAAACTTATCTTTATGTCTCTATTTTGGGAATGGACGAGCACATGTTTACATCGAGAATGGTTTAAATTGAATGCATTATACCTTACCGTAATTTATGTTACATCTCTATTCCTTTGTTGAATTCATTTGATGTAAACACGGTACTGTGCTTTTAAAATATGCGGATATGAAACGGTTCAGAGTTTATAGCTATGCTTTGTAGTCAACGCCTACTATTTGGGTGTCTAGTTGCATTATGAGGAGTCCAATTGCTTCTATATCCTGTCTCCTTTTTATAGAGGACAAGTATGAGTACACTTGATGGAGGGTCATATACTCTATACCTACTATCTAAACTAAATGCGCTGTCGTCCTGTTTTTGGATATTCGGAAATCCATAGACTGAAACAAAAACACGTTTAAACTTCCCTAACGGTTTAAAACCGCGGAAGTTTTACTTACAATTTCTTTTAAATGCTTTTCGAATGCTTTGCAGCAGCGTGCCCCCCGTCACCACGACTGCTTAATTAATAATTGTCTTTCTTCATTATTGCCCTATGCACCCAGTCCTCTTTTTGGTTTTTCCTTCACTTGAGGTTGCCTGGAAGAGATCGCTGTTTAGAGATAAGGATAAGGGAAAGTTTTTTGTATTCATAAAACAAGTATTGTGGTGCTTATAATTAATACAGTTAAATAATAAATCAAATAATAATTAATACATATTTCATTATATATTGTGTATTATTTAATACATTACGACTGAAATAAAGAGGTCATTCTTCTAAAACTGTGTCAATATAGCGGAGTAAGGTTCCAAAAGTAAAAATAAGAGATCTCCAAAGTGCCACTTTCCGCCTACACAGTGCATCAGCCGCTATATATAGATCTTCCTTCTCGGATACATTTCCTTCGCTGTCATCCGTCCCGGCAGGCCATGTTAAAACGGTTATGTCATTTTATTTTTCGTTAGCACTATCAGCTTTATCGTGCCACCAAGCGTCTACACGAATCTATGTTATGATATTGACACTTAAGTAGATCCTGTGGGATGAATCTTTGATTTTATGGATGTCCATGTATCGTATTTTTTGAGACTAACCCGCTTTTGGTTTGATTAAGAGATAAGGATTTTTTTTATAATGGATGAGGTAAGACAACCACGAAAACGTAAAATTCTTTGAAAGCCTCGATTGTGCGATGGTAGTAATCTAGGGCTAATTATCGACGGATTGTAGATTCGATCACCACCGGATCAAATTTTATTTTTTTGCAACATCTAAATATTAAATTGGTGGTCGAAATTCCGTCCGGGTCACAAACCACCGTCCACAGATAAACTGTTTAAAATTTTCAAATATCCAAATGCTAAAATCGTCGCTAGCGCATCTTGTTACATGCTTCAAGTCTGGGCTATTCACCTACCATCAAGTCATCCTCCTTTATCATAAAAGATTACCCTCGTCCAAACAAGATATTTTGCTCCTTCACTCTGTAGTAGTTTGTCGGATTAAAAATACATTAATTGGTTTCGTTCTATACTAAAAGATTAACGATAGACAATAATTCCGCTACGTGTCCATTAGAAGGAACAAAATCACCCACGTTCAGCATTTTGGGGCATAAATTGATAATGTGGCTGAATCCAATGATTAATTGACCCGACGTGACCCAAACAATTACTTCAATCATTTACCTCCGGTTATATGCAATTCGATAGTTCTCCTTTAATTTGAATTATACGCATTCGGTCCCGTCCAATTACGCCAATGTCCAACGTTCGATTCTCCGAACGTCTCTAATGAATACTAATTATAAACAATTTAAATGTATTAACGGGGGCTGGCGGAGACAGATCGTCGATCAAACGATGATTATGAAATACTATGAGAGACTAGCTGTGCCTGCGACTTCGATCGATTTCATTCGTTCTTGCGAGTTAATTTTAAAAGATAGACATAGCTATACTGTCGCGGACATTTTTTAGATAATTTAAAGAAGAATAATTTTTATATGTTTGTTGGTTGTTTCTTGAACCGTTTCTGCAGCGCACGCAATGGTTGAATAATTTTCCGCGTTTTTTTCCACAATGCATCACTGTTTTTTTTGTTCCTATTGGCCGCACTCTAGTGTTTTATAGCCTTCTTCGACAAAAAAATATTTTTCAATTCGAACAAGTAGTTGCTGAAATAAGCGGGTTCAAACAAACTCTTCAACTTTATACATTTGTATAGATTTGAACCTGGGAAAATGGCGATGAACAAAAAGCTTGTTTATGTATAAATTTTATGTTTATTGAACGAAGTATTTTTTTAATATTTAGTATATTGAAATAAAACAGTTTAACGGTTTAAAACGCGATATATATTAGTTGAACTTATTTGAAAATAATTTTAAACTACGGCCCGACGTTTCGGAAACTTTCCATTAGTCGTGGACACGGGGAGAGGTCTCCCCTATCCGGTATTTAGTTAGTATATTTTTTTTGCTTAGTCTATAATTTAGGTTAAATTTCGTCGTACTAATATATATGTTATAAATATTGGAGCAAAGATTCATCTAATAACTGTAGTCTAGATTCTACGGAATCCTAAATTGTATCGTTTAAAAGCAATTGTGTTTGTTTTAATAACTTAAATGATAGCGTAATTTTACCTAACAAATGTTCGCACAGAATCAGATAACGTTAAAAGTTTTATCTTAACTGGAATCGAAACTGCACTTCGAAATTTAAATTTGGAAACATTGAAATATAGCCAAACAAAATTGTGTAACACGTCCCTACCTAAATGCCGGGTACTGACCAAGACGATCGCAGTGTAACATATCGATACGAGATATTACGAGCATGTCAGTGGCACTAACACTACGAACATCGACCACTCTCGTAACAAACATGTAACAGTATTGTCTGTAGTTTACGCATTTAAACAAAACACTTAATGGAAAACGTCGGGCTATAGTTAAAATTAAATTTTAAATAAGTGTACTATTATACATCGTGTTTTAAATCCTTAAGTGGTATATTGAAATGGTACAACAGTGAGGACGTTCGAAGCGACCTTTTAGTCAGTACCCAGCTTCAGAGGAATAACGATAAAATATCGCAGAGTTAATTACAGCTATCCATGTCTCATTAGAATTGCTGGATCTGATATATTGTACTGCGACAGTTTTGTAGGTGGGCTGAACTGATAAAGATCATCTAAGGTGCAACCCAGTAAGTTCTCTGTTATATAATTACGTTAAGGAAGTCAAAGATTATGCATTTATTCAAATGAGAAACGTAATCAGTATAAATAAAAACACGAATAACATTCACATTCTCCTAAAATCAATTAAAACTTCCAAAAATCCAACTCTAGTCTTAGTTGAGTTTCAACGGCACTTCAAGACGTTAAATAAATAGATAAACGTTTGACCCAGTTTTCTGCAGAATTCACTTCAAATAAGAGAGTCATGCATGGATCAATACGGAAGAAATTATATAAATTATTCAGACATGTTAGATCTTTGATATCTCGCAGAGGAGCTTTGCTATTTTTATGCAATATGTAAAAATAACATTGCTCACATTTGATTGTATTGACAGTGGCTTTTCCAGGTTTCTTAAGTATAGCATAATTTTTGATTTGGTTTATTCGACTTCCGTTTGCATAAATAAATTGATATAGCATCGTAAAAACAAAGGTTAAGGAAGAATTGATTTTGTAATACGAAGATGTATTAAGTCATCAAAATTGATTTATAAAATTTTTCGTTTGAAAGGCAATTTTGCATAATACAAATTCTAGTCATACAATGCGAATGAGCAAGTTTTAATGAGCTCATTCTATTCATTAAAATTAGCCAAACGCCATTCAAAAACAATAAACCCTGACCCACGTTTGAAAACTTCAAAGTTCTTTTTCATTGTGATAGACTGTCCCCTCCGGTAGGCCAATCTCCCTCGAGTGGCACCGTCGCTGTAGCCCGTTTGACGCCATATGTGACCATCCAAGTCACCAATACTCGCGACATGGATTTAGATCCTATCTGATCGGATGAAGGTTTAAACTGCAGCGGACCCCCAGCGTCGAGGGTGGCTGTGTCGGAATGGGGTGAAGTCCCAAAGGCGACGTATGGCGCGGCGCTCATCATTTCCCCATTGTCTCGTTAGACAAAAATCAAAAACAAACACTCGTCGAGATTTTTGGATCTAAGTCCGGATGATTCGCAATGATTTCGTTGATCGTTCTGTTTATTCGGCGTTGTGGCTGATTGCGCCTCTGGGATTACGAGTCGGTGTGTCGTTCGGAGCTATTATCTTGGCGAAATGATTTGTGCTCTGCGGTTTCAATAAGTTATTGCCAATTTTTTTCGTGTTCTTTTAAGGTCAGTCATTATTTGCTTTCGTTTCTCGATGTATTCTCTTATTTTTATTTTTCTCTTTCGGTTTTCGCTAAACTCCTATTTTTAAATGAGTTAGGCTCAAATAATGATTATTCTCTATTCTCGCTATAGACATTTTGTACAAGCTTTTGATTTCAAAAGATAAGGTTATTTATTGTAAATTATTAGTCTTTGAATTCTGAATCTATTCTGAGGCATTTAACAAATTTATTTAGTCAAAGGCTACAGAATAATTCATAGCGAAATTATCTTGCGGTTTTCTTTGATAGACGGTTGTAATCTTGTAAACGCGTTCATTCGATTTAATTTCTATTGTTTTATTTTAGAATTTAAATTAATTAAATTTATATTTTTACCAAGATCCAGTTCTTAACAAGTATTTTATTAGCTCGAGTTTTATTAAATTGTTGTTATATTTAGCATAGTAAAAATACACAAGTTGACTTAAATGTCAGTGACGAATCTGATTTGTATATGGAAAAAGTTTCACTCTATGTTAAGAATACAAATTCAGACAAATTGCGCTTCATATAGCAAGGGTGCCGCATAGACAAAAGTTATTCCGCAACAAACAACTCCATACCGGCTTATCTAATATTTGCATGTGTCTCATCGCCCCCATACATTGAATTACTAGTGATTTCTTCGTTCTTTGGATAAATGTAATTCTTTGCAAAGATTGCGTCTCCACTCCGTCTCGCATCTACGTGATCACAATACTCAACCTCGCCGTTGTCTACAGCCTCTTTTATGTCTATCACTTATTCCTCCGATACGCGAACGTCAGCATTTGACAACTACAGTTATGCCGAATGAATCGTCGGTGAAATTGTGCGACTCGGATTAAATTACGACTTTGGACGGGACCTTTCGACGCTGTTGCTTAGGCGTTTATTTTTTATCTTATTGCTAGTGTATATCAGTGTATATTAATTCAAATGGCGCGTGCACAATAAGTATAGCGATGATAATAAGAGTGTTCAGCTCATCCCTCGTGTTCGCGTTGTAAATTCAACTGGAGCCAAGCGATTCTCGACCTTATATCATTTTATTATTAACGATAGAACGTTTTAATTTTAATAAAACTGAACATCGCGCACGCCCGACCTATTTGTCAACCTTCTTTACTTTAGCTGGCATGAAATCATACAGTCGTAGTCCCATATTCCTAACTGCGATAGGATCGGGGGACAGTGGAAAATAGTCTTTTTGATTAAAAAGATAAGACATAAAACGGTCGGTAATTGTCGAACGGTTGGATGTGAAATCCCCGAAGGTGGCCACGCAGGATTTAAGCTTTTCTCCTTAAAGCAATAAAGGTGTGTTTTATTCGCTTTGCAGAGGATTATATTTGGGATTTGGTCGGCGAAACACGTAGGTGAGCCATCGCTCATGTGACAAATTTCTGCGTTTGCTTTAACGCGGGACTCCGTGTTTAGAATATTATATTTGATGTTAGTACTGCGGTGTTCGGGGTGTGTGTTTATTGGACCGATAGTTTTATAGAGAAATTTATCTAGACTATTCTTCAGTGAACGTCACTGGTAATTTTTATGAAACTTAAACCCAATGACGTCATAAGCACCAGGGCTCCGGAGCTTAGGCGCCTTTTAATCTCATCTTTGAAAAGTGATACAGAAAAAAGATTTAACATTTTTTAAAAGGACTTATTGTTCTTATCTATAATTTTAGAGGCGTATTAAGTGCGTAAGTGCATAAGAATGAGGGTCCGGTATGGTCATTAGTGCCGACTTCACGTCAGTACTGCGAGTTTTATTCACGAAAATCGACTCAGTAATTTCAGGGCTAGGAACATACTGGTTATAATTAAGGTCATATTATAGAATGTTATGTTTATTATAGTCGAGTATATTATATATCTATGCAAAGCTATCGTAGCTTAGGGTTCTGGGCTTTAATTGAAATCGTTCAGTGATACAAGGGCAAAGATGTGGTTGCCTCAAGATTTTTGTTATATTGTATACTAAGAATTAAAAATATAAAGAATCGATATCCTTAGCGTTCCGTGCTATGTCCCATGTCTCACACGTCGTCGTCTAATTTCGTTCACCAATTGATACATACACCTCACCCACAATTGTATTCTATGACATAATTTGTAGAAATGTGTTTATAAGCATGACAATATGTTAACCACGATTTAACAGGAATTCCTTATATTTTTTCGTCGCCCACAGAGCGTTTGTGACAGGTATCCCCCTGGGTGTCAGGTTCGTTTGTACTTATGTAAATTCGAATTGTAGTTTCTTTAGTAACGAAGCTAACAATACGTGCGAAAGCCGGGTTTAGTATTTGTCGAATGTTTTCGCGAAATTTCCTAACTCCATGCAAACGTGATTTTCTTGCGTAAGTAGCTTACCAATTTGTATATATATCTACACTAGAAGAATTGTTCTATAATCCTCGTATGTAAGATATTCTGTATTATTTTTTCTATTTTTTATATTGATCGACTCGTTTGTGTAATGGTAGCAAATACCGGAGTGTTTGCTACCATTACACAAACATGGGTCTAATATGTTTCTAATCAACTTATAATTCCTCTGAAAATCTTTTCGACTTCGTCTGGAATCTATATATTAAATAGGTAGAGTGCACGACAGAGGAAAAAGTCGCGAAATTTAATCGCGCGTCGTAAAACTAAGATATTTTAGTCAGTTTCTATCAATGCTAAGTTACGTGCATTAATGAATATGAATGGTGGATATCAAACGCATCCATACCACCATAGCACATCTATGGTGAACATGGTGAAGCAGAGTATCCTACACCCATCAGGGTACTACAGTGCGGTTGCGGTTTCTCGCGCTTCTGTTAGAACTTGCGTTGGGCCCGAAGAAGTTTGTTTTGTTTCGAATAAATTTAAACAACGCTTAATATGTATTAACAACGCATTCATTTATGATTTAAACTAATTAAATTGTGTTTATCAGCGGACATCCTGTCCACTATCGACCGCTATCGGTTGGAGAGGAAACACTGTTTTTATTTGTACCCTCCCACGTACGATCTTTTAAAATACCCGCTTTTAGTTCGCGATTTATTTGCGGTGCGATAAGTCTAGCGACATTGAGCTGGATTTGCATTTAAGTATTAGCGGTTTTAAACGCAAAGCAAATAACGCAATTCATTTTTTAACTAAGATTCGATGTTGTTATTTTTTGGTGGTGTCGTGACTATTAGCTACATATTTAATCGTTAAAAGTATTTTTTTTCTAAGTTGGACTTTTTGCGGTGTTTCAATTTAGTGCAGATAATTAGTAATTATAATCTGTGACTGTTAATTGTTTGCATGATTGGATAGAACTGTTAAAACGTAAGTAGTTATGCAATTCTGATATTACCTTAGATTTAATCTAAGATTTATTAAGAAATGTTAAAGTTCTTTAAACAATAATTTAAAGTATAGATATAGTTTGTCAACAATAAAACACTCTTAACAGCAAGATGCGAACTATGTTAAAATCTCAAATCGTTAATAAATTCTAGTCTTATCTCTGTTAGATCTGATCAGACTTCTGTGCCTTGCCTAACTGAAACAATATTTTATTTCCCCGGGTTTCGAACTCAGGACCTCTCGAGATTAACGCAATTCGCAATAAAAGCATTTAGCTAAAAGGGTGGTCAGTGAAACGGACACAGAAATGTTTGTACCATGTCCCATCGAGGGAAACTTTTACTTATTAAAAAATAAAAAGAAATAAACATCAACATATCAAAACTCATATAAATTATGTATGCTTGGAAGTAATTTTATTTTCTTGTGCCTTTGAAAGGGGCCTCTTGGGATATTTGCGTTGAATTAAAAAGTTTTAATTCGCCATCTTAAGCCCAGTCTTCTCCTTTTACGGTCTCATACGATTAAAAAAGATTTGAGAAAGATTATTTCTAGAGGTTACCGATCAATAGATGATATTGGTGACTCTGATATAAATTTTAAATTAATACAATTTTAAATATGACGGCGTTACATATATAACACGACTAATTGTTTTGAATTAGAACGACAAGACTTTTAGTCTACTATAAGTAGACATTATAAATATCTTCCGTTATGAACAAGATTATATGTTTAAATAAAACACATTAACGGTTTAAAACGCCGCGATATATTAGTAAAACTTATTTGGAAATTATTTTTTCCCAACTTCGGTCTACGTGGAGCTTTGCAGGGGGCGGGGGCGCGGGGGGGCCAAAAAGGGGGGGACGTTTTTGATGCTTTGCGGCGGCCGGGGATGTTCAGGGGATAAAGATGGAGGATGTCTCTGACGTCAAAGTAAAAAATTGCTAAAAAAACTCTGGATCCCAATAAACAGCATACCGGCAAACACGAAGACACCGTTAGTCAATTCTGTAAGGACCCGGCCAGTTTCGCCAAATACCGATTTCGACAGAACAGATGGCGGTAGCGTAGCAATTTTTTACTTTGACGTCAGAGACATCGTCCATCTTTAGTCTCCCCGTGACCACGGCTGCTGCAAAGCATCCGAAACGTCGGGTCGAAGTTAAAAATCATTTTCAAATAAGTTTCAATAAGAGGTTCAACTAAATTGATCGCAATAATCGTCCGTATTTATATTTCTCGTGCCGTATGAAACGTTGATTTCTCCATTTGCGCAAGTCAAGTTCGCCCCATTTTTGTAGCGTGGAAATGAAAATGTCACAAACCTCCTTATTGAATAGGAAATAAATTCTCCTCCGCGTTTTACATACGTTAAGAATTCATAGCTCGGCGATAAATACGTCATGTTTTACGAATATGATTATAATCGAGATTCCTATTTGATCAAAGTGCAGGTTAAAAGACTCAATATAATATAAATATATAATAGGCCATGAATTAAAATTACATTTTTACGACAAAAGGGTAGCCATGTAAAACCAAAGACAGGGTGTCCAATGGGTTTTTTTAATTTGTTAACGGCACTGCTTAGTAATACAAATTGTGCCCATGGATTTTAAGCCATGTATTATTTTTTTAGTAAGCAGTGTTTGACAAGTGTGGGATTCATTAGATGTAAAGGTGAAAAATCTTAGTTAGATAACATTTAAACAAGTGCGCTGGTGATATTTTGGTTTAACTTATTCGGAAATCCACAGACTAAAATTTGAGACAAAAACTTCACGTTAGTTTCAACTGTAGACGCGGATTCGTTAGAACTACGGAATCGGACGGAATTTCGATAATCCTATCCATTAATATTTACTATTATATCCATTTAATATGCACATTTTCAAATAAACCCAACAGAAAAATTGTTCCGGTGGCGACCAAAGTCTCTATGAGCCGATAATATTTATTTATTTTAATACAAAAATATAAGAATTATATTAAATGTTGTTAATGTCTGTTTCAGGCCTGGGCCGACTCCACCCGTACGGCTCGGGCAGCGGTTCCAGCTCGGGCAGTCGCCGGCGCGGGCGCCGCGGCCTCTCTGAGTCGCCCACACCGACCACGCCCACCTCTGCCTCCGACAACGCTTCGGACGCGACCCTCACCGACTCCGAGTTGCCTCTCGCGAGGGATTCTACTCTGCTCGTGCAAAACGGTAAGCTTATATACTAATCCTTTCTTTTTATACTGCACTAGCTGTGCCAGCGACTTCGGCCGCGCCCCATCGTTCTTGTAAATAAATTTTATAAAAAGGTATGGATATTTCATACATATTTTTCTGGTATCTAGAACCGTATTGAAAGATTCTCACAGCGCCATGTTTTATAGCCCTTCTCGATAAATACCCTAACTAACACAAAAAGAATTTTTAATTTTTAATTCGAACCGGTAGTTCCTGGGACAAGCGCGTTCAAACAAAATAACAAAACAAAATTAACAAATTTGGATAAAAATTAAAATTAAAAAAAACTTAAAAAAAATGACGTTCTATTTAAAAAAAACACGGGTTTCTCCCCACGTGTCCACGGCTGCCGTTACTGTGTTATTTAAATGTGTACTACTCCCGTAAACTACGGACTGTATTCAATACAGCCACAGAAATAGCTTAAAAATTATTATCATTACGCGAACGAACCGTAAGTAAATATCCTTCTATAATATTCTTTTCATCGCCGTTAATAAACCATAAGTGAATCCCTCCCTTCAGCAAACAAATATCCTGTATAGAGCAAAACATTGTTCGACGTTAGATATATTTTCCATTATGTAACCTGAGAGATTACATCACTTAACAAAATTACTACGAGGCAAAATAGAGTCCACCGACGCAGGGGCGACCCAAATTAAAGATTAAACACAGCGCCCATCTCGACAAATTATCCCAAAATTTGGCGAATCAAACATAGGCGGAATATTCGAGCTAAACAAGAGGTCGGCAACTAACCGAGCTGCGACAAACATTACACTAAACGACAAATAAAGGCTAGTTTAAATTGAAGCCAAAAACTGTGTGTAAACAAACGGGTCGGAAAAGTTTTGGGCCCATCGAAAACATGTGGTGGGTTCGTGTTCCCTTCTAATATAAGCTTATAGTTTGTTTATTAGTGTATTACAAATATTTAATTAAATCGCTCTTAACGTTTGAAAACAAAAAAATGTAAACTAAACTATTTTTTGTATATATTTACGCATTTTGCTCTAGGAATTCAAGTGTGGAGTTATCTCTAGTTTACGCAAGTAGTACACATTTAAATAAAACTTTGAACGGTTTAAAACACGGTATTTATTCATTTATTAACGTTATTAATTACAAACACCACAGAAATGGTTTACAACTATAAATTCTTATATACTAGGTTATAACAAAAAGGCGGCCTTATCGCTAAACAGCGATCTCTTCTAGGCAACCTGAAGTGAAGGTAAAAAACAAAAAATAAAATAAAATGATTATTGGTAGGTGGTGCTAGACAGGATCGTGAAAAAGAAAGGCAATTAACAGCTGGAAATATAAAATTTGGTAACCGAGACTTTAAAAGTACGGAGAGATGGAGCTTTTCTGATTTCTAAGGGAAGAGAGTTCCAGAGATTAATGGCTTTAATAGTGAAGGAGTTGTTAAAGAAGGAGGTCTTATGCGCAGGAATAAATAATAAAAGATTATGAATCGAGCGAAGATTCAAATTATGTGAGCTTAAAGGAAGAAATTTTTCTTTTAAATAGGCCGGGGATTTAGGGTCGAAAAGGATACGATAAAAGTATCTAGTAGCTAAACTTATTTTCTAATTTATTTACACATCGTACTTTAGGAATTCAAGTGAAGAGTTTTGTCAGTGGTGTACGTGAGTAGTACACGTTTAAATAAAACACTTGACGGTTTAAAATATGAAATATTATTAGTTAAAGCTAATTTTTATTTATTATAACTCGATCCGACATTTGGATGCGTTGCGGCAGCTGATGTTATGGAGGGACTGAAGATAGAGATAGTCCCTAATGTCAAAAAAATCCAGAACGCTAGCGCCATCTGTTGATCAAATAGTTCTTTGCAACATTGTATAAGATATTTTTAAACGCAACTCATGACATATGATAGTAAATCTAAATTAGAATGTTCGTTATGATAGAACACGACGAGACTGCCCTTACGTGTTTTGTAAATATATAAAAAGTATTTGATCTTGTTTTAAGAATAAAGCAACCGCACTTCTGTTTTAGGTTTTATTAATAAAATCTAATGTAACAGATAACTACATCTTAGTGATGTATTGGAAAGAAACATATTCAAACTACTGTGAACTACTTATAAATAGAGATTATTTTTGCCGCGTTGCCAGTGGTGCAACTTCAGAACTCTCCCCTGGATCAATTATCCAGTGTTATGCAAATAAAAATTTCTCAAGGAAGATCTAAAAAGAGAACGTATACCGAAGACAATAACTGCCATTAGAATTAGTGTAGACTGGAATCGAGAGTCGAAGGCATTTCAATAATAGCGCCCGTTTGAAACAAAACGGACAACTACAATGACCCACTAATTCTATCGAATCGTGGTCCATTCCGAAGTGCACAAGAATTCCAATTTAATTGCATTCAATGAAATCCCGGGCGATTATAGTCTACGGTAGGCAAATTAAAAGCGGGACTGCGTTGGTTTTGCTATTCAATTTCCACGGAGGGCGACGCGATAAAAATCCATTACGTAAGCGTTCGCAGACCTGGTGTCGTCTTATTTCCTTAAATTACGACAGACTAGATAAGCCGCGACATTTTCGTATTCAGGAGATCATTTACGCCGAATTACGGATTATTAATTCGATGCTATTTAAACTGAACGGTTACTATATGTCTGATAATGTAATTTATAAATTTCTCATCTTTACATTTGAAAACCAAACTGTTAGCATTTTTGGTTTGTTTTGGTAGGGTTTTTGATTTTTTCGACCGTCGTAATTAAGAAATGGTTCTAATTATTCATTCACTCGTGAATGATATCATCGGAAGTTACACATTCCACGACTTCAATTGTTGTATAGTCGACAACCATTTCTCAATTACGACGGTCCAACGGCGCAAATTCCAAAATGGCCGCGTACTTTTTATAATATTATTAAATTATTACAATATTTTTGTACTTATAATATTTCAGCAATGACTAAAATTGTCTTTATCGTTTCCAGCAATGTTTTAGATCTCAACCAGCATAATGCGATTTTCAAGCAATCACATGCTTCATTTCGTATTCCCACAAACACCCCATGTACCCTTCATCTTGACGCAGCATCGGATTGCAAAATCGCTTAATTTTATGTGTCTAAGCTGTTTTATGGTTACTTCGCTTTTTAGCTGTCGTTTAACTTTTGTGTCAACAAAACTAAGCTATGCAGCAGCCATGCAGCATACGAAATTTTACAAAACGTTATTATAGTTGTATTTATATTGTACTAGTTGTGTAGTGTATACTGTCGACGTAAAGAATATGTTGCTATAAATTAGTTGAACAATAATTTAATCACATAAGCAGACTATAAAACATTTGTATATTAATCGTATAAAATCGGATAAGAGAAAAATTATTGCTGTGAGATAATCCTTTGTAGGTATTAAAGGACTCACAATCCGGACTTTATTACTAGAGCGAAATGTATCGTAAGAAAATAATAAAATCGAATTCAAATGTCAGAAAAACGCTGGAATAGACCAATATATATGGGAGCAAATATCGTTTGACATGTGAAACTGAACGTAACCTTTTGTTATCGTTTCGATATTTCTGCCGCTGACTTCAAACTCAATGATTAAAGCTCAAAGCTTTTCTGCGAAAGAATATTATTGACAAAAGCATTTCCGGATACCAATTAAGAGAACACTGTCATTGTTTTCTTTGTGAGAGAATATAGGTAATGTTAATAGAATGCTTTAGACTTTTTCTCTAGCATGTCATAGGAAACTTGTGATGGAATTTATCATTAATTTTTAATTTTTTTCCGACCTTTTTTTGTTTTTGAACTCTCTAATATTTACTGAGTGAAAACTGACTTAGTCATCAATCAACACACATCATCCACTCTAACAGCCAAGCTTTGAAATTTATCAAATTTCACATTGCTTCTTTACGTTTAAGACTATAAAAAGACAAAAGTCACGTCATTATCTTTTATTGTAACGTAGAAATTTACATAATGGTGAAACACAATAAGAAAACCAATTTAAAGGTTTTCACACGAGTCCAAGTTTTGACAGACCCTTAAAGTATACAACACATCGATTGCCGCTATAAACCCGCGACAGGTCGTAAACGGGAGGCGTAAAACAATCTGATATGCAGCACCATTGACATTTTTATATGACAATATTTTGGTAGGACGAATGTCAATTTTAATTGCTCCTATTAAACGCATGTTCACGATCCGACGAGAGATAGATCGTTTGATGTCGTAAGAGATCAGCTCGTTTCGTCCTTGTCTCGCAGGAGCGTCTTCTGGTCGTAGACAAGGATAGCGTTAGTAGCGTTTCGTTAATAGCTGTAATGGAGACCGGAAATTCGTTAGAGTATAGGCGCGCTTCGTTAAATTTTTATGTCTGCTCAATGGATGCATGTCCTTTTTTCCATATGGTGACATCGTTTGGAGCGAGTTAATGCCGGAAATGTTTCAGCTGCCCTTTATTCCACCTTTATATCTGAACTTTAAATGCCAAAACAAAACAAAAGTTCTATTATTCCCGTGAAGTGCGCGCTTTTTCTTTTAAAATTTATGGTATTTTTACGTTAATAGAGCGCTCGCCTACGCTGAAGAATTTCAGGCTTTTTAAATTAAATATTTTCATGGCATAATGAGGCATATGTTTTATGAGATTTGCATATGAAACACGAGTTACAGCGACGTTATTATTACACTATAATAAGTCTGTTTAGTAACAAATTAATAAATATTATAATTGTTCGGTTTGGACTAGTGCGAGCAAACTCAGTGTTTATTATATAGGAGCCTCAATTTGTTTTAAGTAAATGTTGTTATAGCGGCAAGAGATATACGTATAATGTCTTAATTTAAACGTTTTCGCGCTTATGCTGTTTTACATACAACTAGGTAAAAGACGTCCTTATCACCTGTTGGGTGAAGAACGTTTGAAATATGCATATCTCTAGGAATAATTTGCAAGTGTTAAAAAGAGACTAGCTGACAAGTCCCGCTGTTTTAAAATAAACTTGTCGCTGAAAATGCGAAGTATGACGTCATTAACGTCAGTAACGCGCAGTTTTTCATCTTCCTCACTATTTGGCACGCCGGAATTACGGAATTAAGGCTTCCGTATTCATCCATCAGGAGAATTCCGTGAAATTTCGTTCACTCGAAGCGCCCCCTAATCCTTAAGACGAATAACTCAAAGTTACGGACGGAGCGGAATAATCGCGAGGTTGTGAGTAAAAAAATGTATAATTCGTCACTTAATCCGCGATGCTGTTGGGGCTTCGCGAGTTACAAATATCCAGTATTAGCCATGACGAATGGAGTCCCTTGTTAGGTCGCGTTAAAGTAAGCTTTGACTATAATAGACTCGCTGTTGAGATAAATTCGACGCATTTAAGTGTTACGAAAGACAAAATTTCCTACTTTACTAATAACCTTTTTGCTCGTTGATCGTAGCGATGTATAGCTAACATGCGAATCCAGCACGTTTCTAATGAATATGTTCTAAAAGCCTTTATATCGAAAATTGGATATTATATGCGAACCATTCACAGATGAAAACGCTGTCAAGTCTAATGGAATATGCCAGGTCTGTTCTCCTCCATCATTTAAAAAAAAAACTCGTCTGTCCTCCACCTTCTTATGTCTCGACTTATGTACGTATATTTTGCTCGAATCCTTCGAGTCCTTTTTTTTATTTTAATGCCAAATGGTTTGTTTGTTGTTGATAGAAGTACATACATAGTAAGTACACGCATCAATAAAACACTTATGAAACGCGAAATATACTGGTTAGTTTATTCAAAACGTCGTAAATAGGCTAACTAATATATTTCACGTTTTAAACCGTTGAAAGTATTAACACAATGTGTAAACTTTGATATATGAATTAATTAAATATACTAAACGGGTCTATCCGGTTTCGCCTTTCGTTCACCCCACAACACGAGCGCAATATATTTTGCCTCGTAACGAGTACCGGTAGGTTTGAACGACAAACGAAAATCTGGGTGGGTACGCTTAGTCTGCTTGAAGGCACAAAGGAGTTTGTATCAGTCGTACTCGACGGACCCGAAAAACTCAACTCCTTTGAGATTCCAATCCTTTAATACTAATTGAATCATAATTTCGTAGACGAAGTTTCTTTTTATGAAAATCTTTCGGCTCCGCAATGCTCAAAGGCCCAAGAAATGGGAGCATAATAATCTTGAATTTCGTGAGACCGCAAAAGAGTTTCGCGATATCGGGATTAAAATTTGATACGTTTTTTCTCTCCCGCGACAAATTAAATAAAATGTTTTTCGGCCGACTGATAAATGAGGTTCGTTTTAATTATTCCTCGCTGGTTTCAGTTTTTTCAGGTTTCACGGCTTCACGGGATACGGACAAGCGTTTTACAAGTATTATTATGTAAATTACAAAATCGAATTTAGTTTAACAATTTTGATTTTCATTGCTCTGAGCAACAGCACAGAACGCTATGGTGCCGGTTCAGTACCTGCCCGTGTCATGATGTTTTTTCGATCTAAAATCGATTTTTAAATTACATATGCTAACATGTCAAAAATATTAAAGTTTTCAATTATTTTCTTATTTTCTTAAACATTTGTTAAATTTTAAATTTTCCCGAAAAATAAAACATACTTTTGTTTAGGTAAGATACAAATCAACCTTTTGTATATAAACCAAATTAATGCAATCGTTAAGTAATCTCTGCCTCTATTTTGTATTTTTTATTTACAAGCTACGAAATTCAAACTGAGTACTTTGAATTTTACTTTATTCAATAATTCAAATGTTTACCTTGTAAATACAAATAATTATTTATTCAAAATATAACATTTCGTTAGCATTATCGCTGGTGGTGAGAATTTCAAAAGTGAAAACCTAAACACCAGTTCAATGGCATCACCTGATACAACAAATATCGTATGAGGTTATATTAGACCCACCTCGGCATAAAATCAAAAAACAATTTCGCGCGCACACGGCACAGCGATAAATCTCGGGGACAATTTCCGAAATTTTTCTATCTCGAAGATTTACACAGTGGCCCATCTCGGAAGAAAATCCCATTATCGATCTCTATTCGAGTACAATTTGCGCGACGTTGGCAATTTTCAAACTTAAATGAAAATAACAGCGCGGAGCCTTCCCTTTCGGCCGCGTCTTCGGCAACTTGTCGATAGTTCGCGTCTTCCGCAGCCCCTGGCCTTTGTCTTCTTTACTAGATTGCGTTTAGTACGAATGTAGAACAGTGGATACTTTGAAAACTTTAATGTTTTTCACACGTTAATCTATATTACATTGCACATGACAGCACTATATAAATTGAAAAAAAATATATACGACAATGGCAGGACTCGTGGAAGCGTTGCTCTAAACAAGTGAGCTACCGTCCTACACGTCATCGTCGTATTTTTTCGACCTATTGATAAAAGCACCTCTCGTGCAGTGTAATTTCAGCATTCACAGCCTTATTACGCAAGTGTAGATTCGTCAATATAGAACTTGATAAAAAAATATGGACTAACATTTTAACTAAATGAAGTGCATAAATAAATCGACAAGTAAAGTTTTATGATATAGGAAGATAGATAAGCTTGGACTTCACTTGATGGAAGGCGAAATACCCCAGCAATATAACAATATGATGCGCTGTCGGCTTATTTCAGCTTTGGATATTCAGAATCCACAGACTATAACTAAAGCGCGCTAAAAACTTGGTTATTCATATAAATTTAGATATTTATACCACTTATTAAATATACAGATTTCCAAAAAAATATCAATTACCATTACAACAAATAACTCTTATAACAGCATATATACGTGTGTTTAAAAAAATATTAATAAAAAGGAAATGCAATGCAAACAGACCTTCTTTTCTCGTTATTACGCTTTCGGTTAATAAATATTACTAATATACTTTTGTTTATTTAAAATCTAGAACAAAACAAAACCTTCCCACCAGTTGTGCGTAAACTAGACGCGTTTCCCATCGATTTTCAAACCGAAGCCTATTCATGGCACGTAATCCGGACCTCTCCATAAAATATACTGAAGGATCTGTTTCAACAGCGCCAGTTTTAATCTCGTTATTCGCAATAG